ATTTTTTTTATTAAAGTAAATCTAATTCAGATCAATAACGAAACTATTTCGATGAAACAAAAAATATTTTTTTCAATGATGTAAAATGATGAATTATTTCCAATGTCATTTAAGAATAGTTATCAATATATTCATTTTTGACTTTTTATAGAAAAAAAAGCTTTCGAATGGATTCTTACCTATTTTTATAATTGTTTTATCACTTGGAAATTTGTCTTTTTTGAAGTGTTCCGAAGGAATCTCATACCTTTGATGCATTATTCTAACACTTATCACAAATACTCTAAACTTATTATATTAATATGTGGCCCATGAAAATGTTGAGTATTTATAGGAATAGTGTGTGAGATAGAACGTATAAATATGTTCGGTCCTTCAATATCAATAATCTCCGTAAACGCTTATTTCAAGAGAATGGTGAACTTGATCTCAACGTTTGACAACATCATCTGTGCTCATATGTTAATACATTACGTAAATCAAGATATAATTATTATACAACAGAACGAAGAAAATAAGAGTAATGAATTTTATTATTATACGAGCTGTGTAATTTTCAGCAGAGAAAGATATTTATAATTTAAGCTATACAAAAAGTAAAGTTTATGGAAGATCAAGACAGATTTATTTCAAAATTAAAATTATTCTTCTGTGAAAACTTTCAATAATACATAATTGAATCGGTTTATGTAAATGATAAAAACTGTAGTATTAATTGATATAAATGTAATGCATCTATCTGATTTGTCTATTGATTTTTTTATTAAAATTCTCATTAATAAACAAAAATATTAGTAGAAAAGTAAAAGAAAAAAAATTGTAAGTTTGTTTGGTTTTTTTTTACTATGAAATTCAAACTAAATAAAATAATTCAAACAGATAGATTGAAACATAAATGACTTGCTATCGATCGACACTAAATAATGTTTTAATGAAAATTTTCAAAAAGAATTTAAGTATCAACTAACAATTTACGACAAAAAAAACAATAAATGATTCATCCTATTTACTCTCAAAAAAAAAATTACATGCATAATGTTCATCAATATTTATCAGGTCATGTTTATATAAAATTACAAGTTTAAAATCTCTAATTGAAGTGTATTTTTTTTCCTGTAAACGAACTTTTTCAATTATTTTTTTTTGTAACAGTAAAAAGGTCAAACATTGTTTCCGTTGCCAAAGTAAAAAGCAAAGTAACTCGCATCTTTTATTCAAACTGATTACTACAACTGATTTAGCTGTGAATTCATCAATTTTATGAAATGAATAAAATGTTTATCGTAATCTTCTTTTATTTTTGTTGCTACTGAACTTTCTATATTCATATTGAAGAAAAACAGTGCAGTGTCAGACTCAACAAGATATATAAAGAGATTAATATTAAAAAAACATCCATATATAAATCTTTTATTAAAAGCTTTTTTATTAGTAGAAATTTTTCATAAAAATTATAAGGACAATATCATTTAATCGAAGGAGGTTTGCAATTTTTGTTTAAATCTCGTTCATATTCCATAGATTCATTTACACTTTCTAGCATAATAAAAAAAAACCATTTATATATGTATAATGAGATAAAAAATATGTGATTCATTAATTTATTTGTTATTACTACTAAGATTTTTTTACAGACTCAAATATTTAATCTATACATAATTTTATTTATAAAAATTCAGAGATATTTTTCAATGAACGAAATTGACGTACTATGAGAATAAAATTCTTTTTTTCTAATTATTATCAATAGAAAACATGTACTTAGGGTTATCCAAAAGTAGTGGGCCAGGTTCTTTTTTTTCTTATAAATAGCTAAAAAGAAATTTCTTTTTTTACGAATAGATAGAGCGTCTTTCGCTCTATCTTTCTATGCTATTTGATCACTATTCAACTGGTATCATAATAATAAAATTCCGACAAAAACATTTTTAGTGCAACTCTAGCTGGTAGCAATAGTGCATATTATCATTCATGCGTGTTTTCATCATCTAATAGGTTTTATTAAAAAACAAAATACAGCACAAGATGCAGCGTGAAAAGCTCTACAATTTACAAAAAACGGTTTATTTTAATTGTGTACTTTTTGTTTTCAAAAAAAGCAAAATTCTGTGCGACTAGTTTTCGCCGTTGCAAAAAAATCATTTTTTTCTACACAAAAGAGAAATTTCTTTTTTCTTATTTCATATTTTTATCATCTAATACGTTTTATTAAAAACGAGATATACCACAAGATGCAGCGTGAAAAGCTCTACAATTTACATAGTAAAGCTTATTGTAATTGTTTTCAAAAAAAGCAAAATTCTGTGCTACCAATTTTCGCACGGTCAAAATTTGGTCGCTCAAAGTTTTGTCCAATTTGAAAACAAAAAGTGCAACTATAAAAGAAGTGGTCGTATGTAAATTGTAGAGCTTTTTACGCTGCATCTTGTGCTGTATTTTGTTTTTTAATAAAACCTATTAGATGATGAGAAAAAAAACAAAGAAAACACGCATGGATGATAATATGCACTATTGCTACCAGCTGGAGTTACACAAAAAAAGTTCTTATCGAAATTTTATTATTATGATACTAGTTGAATAGTGATCAAATAGCATAGAAAGATAGAGCGAAAGACGCTCTATCTATTCGTAAAAAAAGAAATTTCTTTTTAGCTATTTATAAGAAAAAAAAGAACCTGGCCCACTACTTTTGGATAACCCTAAGTAGTTCAAAATACATGTTAAAATAAAACTATATTTGAAGAATGTATGTTTTCTTTTTCATGTAATGCCTCTTTCTTCACATGTAATCAAAAAAAAAAACAACATCGAATTTTTATAAAAAAATTAAATACTATGAAAACAAAATAGTGAAATTGTTATATCTGTCGAATAATTTTCATACGAGAGAAACATAATGAGAAATACATGAATATATTCATCAAACGTTGTACTATTATCATTATTGTCTCTTAGTTTGATCCCTATTAAAGCTCAGAAAATACTTCATTTCATTCTATTCAAATGACATTACTTCATAGATAGCGCTTTGTCAAGTAACTAGAAGTAGTTATCTCCTTCATCCACGAATATTAAAACATTCATGAATGATTCAACTATTCGAATCGATTTTATCAACAAGATCTACTTTGAAGGGTCTCTAACAAGCGAAACAATTATTTTCATCATTCAATTAAGGCAAACTGATAACGAAAACAACAAGACATGAATCAATTATGTTAAAGTGTTTAAAGAGCAGAAATATGATATACTGCATCATCAGGAAACTATTTTGAGATGAATTCGTGACTGTTGAAGCATGTAGATGAGCATTTACTTATCACGAAATGATTAACTTTTTCATTGTATAACACTATAACTCATAGTTTGTTGTATATGTTTTAGAAATAAATGCTCTAGATGTGTCAATCTTTTAGCTTTTGATAATTTTTTTGCAAAATTTATGCATCAAGATTGAAAATGATAGTAAGTTTAATGAATTCAATGAATCAGTTTTTATAATTAAAGGAGAAGTTTTGATGAAAAACAAAATTTGAATTGATAAATTAACTTGTCTTAGATCCTGATATCAAGATGAATCATATAAAAAAATATTTTTCGATTCATTGATCAATATTATGTTTCGAAGCAATTTCATGAATAAGTACACTTGAGAAATTATTCACTATGTTAAAATAGAAGTTTCTTTAAATTTTTTATAAAAGGAAAAAAACAATAAATGATAATATCACTTCACATTTCTTTTTATTTAGTTTCAATTTATTTGTACATATTTGTATAATAGAAAAGTCTGTCTTCCCACCGAATTCCAGCGTCGGATCAATGATTCTAGATTGCTCTCATATGTATAGAGAGACGTCAATTTTTTTTTTAATCATTTTGAAGACGATATTTTAAAAATAAAAATCCCATGACATAAGATGAAAGAAAAATAAATGAAAAAAGAATATTAAAAAAAATTATTTTCATTTATCATTCAGAATAGAGGAGTCTAAAAAGAAAAAAACTATTATTTTCAAATTTAATCTTCAATTTAACCGAATGAATTCATCATTGTATGATAAAAAGAAACACATATATAAAATATTGCAGATAAATTTTGAAGTATAATTAAAGGTTTTGTTCTCATCGTTGATTTCTCTAAATGTAAGTGTTCGACCCACACAGTGTATATATAAGATAAAAATTTTTTTCGTCGACGACGATATGATATTAATGTACGTCAGACGAGAAAAAAAATACACATATCACTACCTAAAAATTGATCATCAGATCAATTATGTAATGTTATGTGTTGAATGATTGATAAGAAAATCAATCAAAATCATGAGCATCGATCAATTAACCTGAGGGTGTATAAAAACATGAATACCTCATCATGAAACAACACACTCGAGTTGTATCATTACAATGCATTACAATGTATTTATATACCCAGGCTAATTATTATTATGATATTATTTACAATGATAATGATATATAGTATTATATTTGAGGTAAATTAATTCATTCTATATTTAAAATTATACTTTTCTTTTTAGATGAGCTACGATACAACATAACATTGAGAGGTAGGACAATAAAAATTTTGTTACATGTTGAGTTGAGATAACTTATTTTGAGAGAAAATAAACACTGTCAGTCATTATGAGTATAAGTATGAGTACGTTTGAGATGAGATGAGTTGAGTTATAGATGTTATCAGTGTGGGTCAGAGAGCTATGTTGTCTGACTCAATAGGTAGAGGAACTTTCTTGCCATAGCGAAGCAGTGTAGTACTAGGGAAGGCCTCTATGAGTCGTTGGTCCCTACCGTTCATAGGGCATACCTTCGGCCATTGCCCTACCAGTCCGACGTGGTCCGCCTGTGGTACCTATGGCATTGACAAGGGATCGCTTCCTTGTCGCGCGCGCGCGTGTAAACTAAAATGAGCAGAGAAAAATCGAAACGATTAGCAATGTGAATAAATTTATTGAGGAAGTGAAAAGAAAAAATTACAGTTACATTTTCTTTTTTACATTGTCAATTGAGTTTGTGACTGTTTTAATATTAGGATGATTAGGTGGGAGTGATTTTTGCCAGATAGAAAGTGCCTTTTCTAAGAATGAGAGTGCTTTTGAGTAGTTACCCATGTTGTCATACACCAAACCGATATTGTTGTAGGAAGTAGCTAATAAGGGATGATTCGGAGGCAGAGCTTTTTCGTAGATTTTAAGTGCTTTTTCGTAAAATTCAAGTGCTTTCGAGTAGTCACCCATGTGGTAATACACTGCACCGATGTTGTTGTAGGATTGAGCCAAATCGGGATGATTTGGAGGCAGAGCTTTTTCTCTTATTTTATGTGATTTTTCGTAAAATTCAAGTGCTTTCGAGTAGTTACCCATGTTGTCATACACCAAACCGATGTTGTTGTAAGAAGTAGCCAATGAGGGATGATTCGGAGGCAGAGCTTTTTCGCAGATTTTAAGTGCTTTTTCGTGAAATTCAAGTGCTCTCGAGTAGTCACCCATGTTGTCATACACTCTACCGATGTTGTTGTAGGAAGTAGCCAAATCGGGATGATTCGGAGGCAGAGCTGTTTCTTTTATTTTAAGTGCTTTTTTGTAAAATTCAAGTGCTTTTGTGAAGTCACCCATGTTGTTATACACGAGACCGATGTTGTTGTAGGAAGTAGCCAAATCGGGATGATTCGGAGGCAGAGCTTTTTCGCAGATTTTAAGTGCTTTTTCGTGAAATTCAAGTGCTTTCGAGTAGTCACCCATGTTGTCATACACTCTACCGATGTTGTTGTAGGAAGTAGCTAATAAGGGATGATTCGGAGGCAGAGCTGGTTCTTTTATTTTAAGTGCTTTTTTGTAAAATTCAAGTGCTTTCGAGTAGTCACCCATGTTGTCATACACTTGACTGATGTTATTGTAGGTGGTAGCCAAATCGTGATGATTCGGAGGCAGAGCTTTTTCGCAGATTTTAAGTGCTTTTTCGCAAAATTCAAGTGCTTTCGAGTAGTCACCCATGTTGTTATACACTTGACTGATGTTATTGTAGGTGGTAGTCAAATCGGGATGATTCGGAGGCAGAGCTTTTTCTTTTATTTGAAGTGCTTTTTCGTAAAATTCAAGTGCTTCCGAGTAGTCACCCATGTTCTTATACACTTCACCGATGTTGTTGTAGGAACTAGCCAAATCGGGATGATTCGAAGGCAGAGCTTTTTCGAAGATTTTATGTGATTTTTCGTAAAATTCAAGTGCTTTCGAGTAGTCACCCATGTGGTCATACACTCTACCGATGTTGTTGTAGGAAGTAGCTAATAAGGGATGATTCGAAGACAGAGCTTTTTCGCAGATTTTAAGTGCTTTTTCGCAAAATTCAAGTGCTTTCGAGTAGTCACCCATGTTGTAATACACTGCAGCGATGTTGTTGTAGGAAGTTGCTAGTGAAGGATGATCTTCTGAAAGAGTTTTTAGCATCATCTTGAGGGATTTTTCGTGAAATGATGCTGCTTCGTTGTATAATCCTTGATGGTCTTTCAGCACTGCAAGGTTGTTGTAAATTGTGGCTCTGGTATCGTTGTTGAATATTTGTTCGAGTACTGTGATATACAATTTCTCGGCCTTGCTATATTGTCCTATTTTTAGTAGCAACATACCCAGTCGTCCCCAACATGTCTGATGTGAATCTTCTCCTAATATGCTTTCTGTGAGTTGACGCAGTTGTTGATCTTCATCCGAGGTCAGTTTAAGATCTACTTGATAGAGTGAATTTTCATTGTCAAGTTTTCGAATTTCACCAATTCGAAAAACGGTGTGCATTGAGAAGAGGATTTCACTTTCTTCCGCGAAATTACTCACTTCCCGGATAGAGGCAAATGGACTTGATAAGATGGTGGGATCTATCGACATTTGAAATAGGATACCCACCATACCGGGTTTTTCTACGGCACTTTCAGCAAAAGCAAGAGAAGCAGCTTCATCTGTACTGGTGGATAAGAAATTATTGAAGGAAATAAGTCCACCTTTGTTCTTCTGGAGTTTGTCGAAGTCGACTGTAGATAATCCTTGTCCCCGAAAAACTTCAAAGATCTTTCCATGATAAAGACTGATCTGTTGTTTGTGTAAACTATCAATTTGTCGATGCAAATCAGCAAGAAAAAAACCCATTTTTATAATTGTTTCGCCATCGAGCGTTCGAAGAGACTGGTTGAGCATCTCGTAAAGAAAACACTCACGACTGTACCACCAAATTGATGATTCTGGACTATATTGAAGTTCGAACTCGGCGATATCTTTTGCTTTAGCTTTATTATTCTTGTATTCGTTTCGCCAAAATTGAATGAAATCCTTCTTGGCTTGTTCACCATGTTCCATATCAAGAAGAATTTCCTTGAATATTTGGGAGTACATGAATGAGGCTTCAAGCTGATTGAGATCTTTGCTAGAATCTTCTTCGTTTACACTGATAATGCTTACGGATATGTCATCTTTATTGCTTTGCTTGACAGCCATTTGCAATGCTTCACACAGGAGCGGCATTTCTGTGTATACACCCTTAACTTTGTTCCATTGACTATTCCAATCTTCTTGTGTAGTTTTGCTACTGCAATTGACGTAAATGGTATCAAGTTGAGGAATATCATGGATGAGCGGTATCATTTGTTGGTCCATAGTATCTGATACAATGAGAAATGCTTTTCGATCATCGACTTCAGTGAGGAAGTCAACACATTCATCACATTGTGTAAAGATGCAGACTTCATTGGCTATTCTTCGTAGTTGTTCGAGTGTATTTTGGTAGTCGTTATTTGCTGGATCACTGTTTCCATCGACCCAAAGGATCAAATAATTCTGAGCGATGTACCGTGTTGATTGCATGGTAATTGATGGACCTGTTGTGTTTGTATGGGTACCAATTGTTGATTTGGAGATATTTTTTTTTGATTTTTGTTCGTTCATATTCATTGTGAATTGTCGTTTGTTGCTCAATCGAGAATGGTGGATAGTTGTTTGTCGCTTAAACAGAGATCATTTCTTCTATTTATATAGTAGGTGCCTTCTGTTTTTTCTACGTCATAAAATGTGGGCGTTTGTTTGTCGTTAACACTCAACGACAAACTTCATTGAGTTTTAAGAAAAAATATGATTGTCAACAAAAAGAACGAAAGAGAAAAAATATCCAACAGCATCATGGCTTGCATTACTATTCTTTCCAATTTTGTTTGATTTTCATGTGTAACATGACTTAAGTGGCATTGCTCTGGATACCTTGTCTCATACATCATTTTTTTTCAGGATGAAATTTTTTTTCTGACAGGAACGAAGAAAGAAACAAAGACATCATTAGTTCGATTGCTTTCATTCTGCTTTTGATGGAAATTCTGATCGTGTGAACGAACAAGCCAGAAAAATAAACTGAATTTTGAATGAAGTAACGATCGAAAGATATTTTTACTTACCAGATTTATTGCTGTTAGTTAACGGGTGGTTCAAGTAAAGAATGCTGCACATTCAGGGTGGGCCAAAAGTCACTTCATCAAGAAGAAAAGTATGAATATCTCTGTCATACTTTGACCAAATGGACTGATTTTTACTCTATTAATAAGGGAGTACTCATAATTGACATTCCTACGAAAAATGCTAGAAAACACTGCTTTAAAATATTACTATTAATATGAATATAAATCTGAAGTCTTTGATGAGTTATGAGAAAATAGTCTGGTCCATATGATCAAAAATAATGAACAAGAAATATTTCCAATCAACGCTTCAATCAATTCTTACTTAGTGTTTCCTGAAACTTCTAATTATTAATAACTAGATATATTCAGTGAATAATTTACAAAAAGTTATTTATTTTTTCATATTCATCAAAGTATCGTGCAGATACTCAAGCGTTTCTTCTCGATAAAATGACTTTTGACCCCACTCTCTATTGTGCTTGATCATGAGAGATATGCATCACACTTGATTGTAGATGTCGGTGAAGTTCTTACTGTAAATACATCTTCAGTTTTGTCATAGTTAGAATAGTGCATTGTTGAGTTATACGTTGTGAACTGAAAATTTTGAAACAAAGTCTTCCTTTCTGTTTTTTGGACCAATGAAAAGGATCACTCGAAATTTTATAGAGTTGACTAAGGATCAGAATTTTATAAGCGAATCTTTGAAAAGATTAATAATAAATGTTCGACGATTTTCAATGCATTAAAATATTTTCATGATAGAAGAGAAAAGTTAGTCTCGATTTTCTGAAGAAAAAAAGATTGTGAAGATTTCTGAACAAAATAATATCTTGATGGAAATTTTTCTGGAAGGTAACTATTAATAATGACAGTTTTGGTAGGAGCGATCATGGCATATTCATAAGTCCTTGATTTAAAGACGTACAAAATGAGTTTAGGCATGTATGAAAGACTGCTATGAGCTTTTCGATTGTTAAATCAATTTGAAGAGAACCCTCTCGTTCTTTATTTTATTCAAAATTTTGAATTAACAAAATCGATGTAGTTTGTTAGAATGATGCATAGAAACACATCATATTTAGAGCGACAAATATCAATGAATTATAACTTTTTGATCTAATTAGTGCGAAAAAATGATAGTAGGATAAAATAATTTCTGAGTAGTGTGTTTTATGATATTCTATGTTTGTAGTAAACAATAAAAGTTTCCCGAAACATAGAAAAGATTCGAGCCATTTTATCAATATGACAAGAATAATAAGTGGTCAATAAAATCATATGACTTACATGTTAGATCGCCTAATTCTAAAGAATTTAATTTTGTTTGAAAAAAATTCTTTTGAGTTGATTCAGTTCGAATTATCTATGAAAATAGCCTCACTCAATATTTTGTATCATAGCGTAAATCTCTCAAAAAGTACTTAAAATTTTTACGACTTAAAAAAGTTTGTTGTGTTAAATTTACTAGAGAAATATTGAGGTAAATCAAAAACATTAACTAAAAAGAGAACAGAATCGCCTTTTTTTGCAGAGAGTCCTGTTGTTTTTCTCTGAAACAAAACTGATAAGAGAAAATATTTTCTCATTAATATGTTACTAGAAGAATCTTCCTACTTTTCATTTAGTCAGCATGCCACCATCTCTATCGTTGAGAGATCTAGAGTCCCTTTTGGATCACTCTACACAAAAACATACACGTATTTGACATTATTTTATTCTCTTCTTTTATTTTAAATTTAATTTTA